CGGAGATTCTCAGGTAAAAAGGTCAGGTATTTCGTCAAGAATTGCATGTGATTTGCTACAGGTTTCAGGTCGCCATTCAATAAATTTACTGTCACAGTCGGCATATAGATATATCTTAGCTACGGTCTAGTTTATGATTAAATCACAGATAAAAAGTTTGAAGAAATAAATCGGCTCAAAACGTATCAATGTCAATGTTCAATTCGGCCTCACCTGCAGACGACATGTGCGCCTCGGTCCGCCGATATTTTCCTGTTTGCGTAGAGCACAAAGCCGTTTACTGGAAAGTTACATATTATGTAACACCGAAGTATTTCCATATCAACCTGTCTCAACTCATTTATTTTGGCGATGTCTTGAGACCCCTGTCTTCCTATAACATTACCTTTCCCTCCTGTCTCAACTCATTTATTTTGGCGATGTCTTGAGATCTTGAGACACCTGCCTTCCTATAACATTACCTGTTGTGAAGACATTAATCCACAACAAACTAAAGAGGATTCAACATGTTACAGCCCCAGTATCAAGGTCACTTTCACATAATACACATACAAATTTCAGGATGTGCATCAACAACCTTTTGGATATGTTTATTTTCGGATACCTAGATCTGTAGACCTTAACTGATCAAATTTAGGAAAGTCAGGTGGTACATTGGATATATAGGCACTCGCCTTTCACCAAGACAATAGAATGTTCATTTTCACGATTAGACATGAAAAGGTATGGGGTCACCTGCCTGGGTACTCCAGTTCCCTCCTACATTAACACCTCCCCCACGCACTAACATCCAGGCCAACAAGAGTGAAGAATAAAAGTCGATACAAATTGTTTGACAATTGTTGTAAAATAAATAAAGTTAAATTTGATTAACCCTTTCACCACTGTTGACCATAATGGACTCATCCATATCAATACATGGTAGAGTCTACTAAAGTTACATAGGGGTTAACACAAATGTAGACAAGCTACCATTTAAAAAAAAATTGATGTAGGTATATGAAGATGGGTGCCTAGGGAGACACAGCTGGAAAAAAGACAGAGAGTAGAGAAGAAAAGAGAAAGATAAGGCAGGAAAAGAGGTAGAACCAGTATATACTGTGTAGATGGGATCAGGTGCTAGCCCCTCCGACGGTCTAACACTATACAATGCTGCCGGGGACAACAATGGTATTAATTCTGTTTCCGTTCCTCGCAGTCATAATGGGGAAATGTTTTATACAGCTCATAACCCAATAAGCTGTAGTAATTCTGTTACATTACAATAAACAACGCGCCTTAATATCCCACAAACGTCAAATATACGGCCCATGTCCCAACACCGCCGCTTTTAGTCAAAGTGATGACATAGTATCGTGACAATGAAAACTTTACCAAGTTAATGTTACGTTTCTGGTGATTTACGGTAATGGCCGATCGTCATACATCTCGATTTACATACAATTCTTACAAGATACGGCCGATTCAGGAAACCATTTTTTTTCTCCCACAATATTTTTTGTCCTTCCGTACAATGTTTAATGCTATTGTATTACGAAATGATGGAATGATGCGGCAGATCATCTCAATATCATGCACATCACTGGAAATTCCCTTTTTCCTTGCAGGGTTCTATCAGATTTAATTGTAGACTGTGGAGGTTTACAGGTCCTGACAGGCCTACTGGGTGTAGAAATGTTCAAATTGATCTCTGAGGGACAGAGTAAATTCAATAAGTTAACTCAGGTCATGTCACTTAACAAAAGACAAAATGGGTTTTTTATGTGTTGGGTTGAGAACAGAATGTTGAGAGAAAGGGATATTTTTAATGTAGGCTTTGAGAAATATTTACAACCAAACTTTCTTTCTTTTTTTGGGGGGGGGGAGTAAAAAGACGATTCCCCAACATTTTCAAGAAATTGATCCATCCAGCCTCCATAAAGGTAACACCCACTACTCCTTTCTCTTTGTAATAATGACTCTTTCTTCAAGTTAAAATTAAGTCTGTCTCTTAATCAAAGTACAGATCAAAGTACAGTACATACAACAAATAATCTTTGTACATATTAATTCCAAGGTGAGTAAATATAGTCCATGTCCATTAAATTCTGTAGTGATGTCACACTATGACTCCACGCACAATGCATGCCAATGTCTGGACATGTCACACAACTAACATAGGTTCTTCTCTCAGGACTCATTGGAGAAGTCTTGCTAGGAGTTGGTAAAGGTTTCCCACCAGTCGTAACAATGCAATTGTTTCATCCTTTTGGAAACAGACATTTTTTTTTAATTTTTTTTTTATACAAATTTTAATCCCTCAGCATTTGATATTCTCATTTTCATAGATCTTTGACATATGCATATGCGAATATTCAGTGGTTGTTGGAGGCTGCCAGGGTTGAGGAGCCCTGGGATCAGCCCCCCGAACAATAAAGTGTCCACGCGTAGGTGTTCTTTCACTATTCGTACACCTTACATTCAATAGCTATGTTTATACATGTGTTATATATATATGTATATATATTTTATATAGTTATATTAAGTTTGTAAGTTGTCCCCGCGCATGCATGTATCAGCCAACCCAAAACTGTATCCGTCTGCGTCAAAAGACATAATGTATTTCCAAGGGAAACATAAATGTAGGCAATGTTAAACGTATTTGGCTACCCACCAATGTGTTACACGCTGTACCTGATTTCATGTGTCAATGTTGGAATTGTGATGTCATCCCCTTGGAGACAGACGTAATGTGTTTCCAAAGAAATCCAGTGTTTTTTCCAGATAAAGTATGAACATGATGGGAGAAAAAGCCCTAAACTTGTGATGGCTAATTTTCATATTTATCTCATTCTCATTAGTGAATGTTTAATTGCAAAAGACACTCAGTAAACCTTGTGTCATTACACAACTTTTAAACATGATAACCATCCACCACTCGTCGGTTAACCTCTATATATCTGGGTCAAATGTCTCACTCGTCGGTTAACCTCTATATATCTGGGTCAAATGTCTCACTCGTCAGTTAACCTCTGTATATCTGGGTCAAATGTCTCACTCGTCGGTTAACCTCTATATATCTGGGTCAAATGTCTCACTCATCGGTTAACCTCTGTATATCTGGGTCAAATGTCTCACTCGTCGGTTAACCTCTATATATCTGGGTCAAATGTCTCACTCGTTGGTTTCCCTCTGTATATCTGGGTCAAATGTCTCACTCGTCGGTTAACCTCTGTATATCTGGGTCAAATGTCTCAACCCTTGTCAATGATCAAATACTGATTAACTGACCACTTTTTCATCAGAATTTGTTCACAATGAAAATAATGAAGGTTATTGACAGGAGACAACAAGACATTAAGACAGTAATCGTCTATAAGGAGTAAGAAAATCTGACCCTGCCTTATGGAGTAAGAAAATCTGACCCTTCCTTATGGAGTAAGAAAATCTGACCCTTCCATTTGGAGTAAGAAAATCTGACACTTCCTTATGGAGTAAAAAAATCTGACCCTTCCTTATGGAGTAAGAAAATCTGACCCTTCCTTATGGAGTAAGAAAATCTGACCGTTCCTTATGGAGTAAGAAAATCTGACCGTTCCTTATGGAGTAAGAAAATCTGACCCTTCCTTATGGAGTAAGAAAATCTGACCCTTCCATGTGGAGTAAGAAAATCTGACACTTCCTTATGGAATAAGAAAATCTGACCGTTCCTGATGGAGTAAGAAAATCTGACCCTTCCTTATAGAGTAAGAAAATCTGACCCTTCCATGTGGAGTAAGAAAATCTGACACTTCCTTATGGAATAAGAAAATCTGACCGTTCCTGATGGAGTAAGAAAATCTGACCCTTCCTTATAGAGTAAGAAAATCTGACCCTTCCATGTGGAGTAAGAAAATCTGACACTTCCTTATGGAATAAGAAAATCTGACCGTTCCTGATGGAGTAAGAAAATCTGACCCTTCCTTATAGAGTAAGAAAATCTGACCCTTCCATGTGGAGTAAGAAAATCTGACACTTCCTTATGGAGTAAGAAAATCTGACCCTTCCATGTGGAGTAAGAAAATCTGACCCTTCCTTATGGAGTAAGAAAATCTGATCCTTCCATGTGGAGTAAGAAAATCAGATCCTTCCATGTGGAGTAAGAAAATCTGATCCTTCCATGTGGAGTAAGAAACATGGACCCTTCTGCATCCATTTTTTCCACTAATACGGTTTTCCTTTTGTTTTGATGCCTCATTGGTTCCTACTATTGACCTTCAACATCGACCTTGAGATCTGGGCCTGTATTAATGAAACTATTCCCATGCTCAAGTGTGGATTCTTTATTCAAAGTTTTTTTTTATAGCTTGCTTGAGTCATGGGACAGGGTCAAAAGGTCAAGTCTAGACATTGAAAGCTGTATTCAGCTTCAAGACACTGCGAAATTCTTGAAAATAATTGACATAATGTGACTTTTTTATTAATCTATCACCAGAAAAAAAACTTGGGCTTGAGCACAGAGTCTGAGTTTGAGAATGGATTCATAAATACAGGCCCTGATTATCTGTTTTCAAAATAATCAATACAAAAATGAACCTCTCACAAATGGTATGCCATTTTTGTCTATAATTATAATAATTTTAGGTTCTCATATTCCACTTTATCACAACCTTGTTCATAGGTCGTCTCAAAGCGGTTCACAAAAGATTATCCGTGGTTATAGGGCCTTTGCAACCAGCCAACATCTTTCTCAACTCTCTGGGGAGCATACAGCCGGTGCTGCCATTTTGGTGCTCACAGCTAGCATTCAACAATTCTAGCACTGACCAACCAGATATTCATTTACAGCTGAGTAGACTGGAACAAGCGGAGTAAATTATCTTGCTCAAAGTCTACATTTTAAAGACTTACTTTTTCAAATATGGTCCATCAATTTCTTATCATAAGATAACTACATTTTTAAGTCTAGAAATAATTTAAGTACAGGAATTTTCCCACACCATTACGTTCTCTTGCTGACAAGGAAAATTAAGCCGTCTTACCTCAAGGGAAAACTTCACAAAAAATTAGCTTCAGCCTGTCTCAGAAATTTCCAGGACTTGCACTGCAAAGAGATAAAAAAATATCAAATCTTAAAAATGTTCAGGTGGTTTGAACCTGTCCAATACTAATTAACGCGTGTAATGTGAGCATGCCTCCTGTCAAATGACTGGCTCTTATCCCACTACACCAAGAAATCTGCAAGTCAGCAAAGAAGATGATTTATCACTTAAAAAATAAATAATGCTCTCGCACGAATTTAAGTGCACAAAAATGTCTTCTTGTGCTTTAGAATCTGAAGAAAAAGAAGATCGGCTGGGAAGGAGATTAGACTGTCTTAGCTTCTGAGTGCGGAGAATGAACCATAGATCATGTGCTTTTTGTAAACACGCTTCATCATTTAGTAAGGTAATACAAAGTAAGTGTCCGATAAATAATTGTTTGTGTTTCTTTAAAATAAATTCAATCAGCGTAAGGTGTGATGCTTACACAGACATATGCCCGCGATCATTGATCTTAGTTTACTAGTGAACTACCACTGTGTAAGTAGCTTCATTCCTTTCTATCAACATCCGTGAAAAACAAAGTTCTCACAAAATTTGACACATTCAATCTCAATTCATCGAATTAAATAAAATGTTTCCAAGAAAAAATCACAAACAGATTAAAAAATAGATGAACACTCACCGAATCAATTGGCATTCTTATCAAAGGTCCTGAAGTTCATTGTAAATTAATTTTTAATTGAGAAATATGATCAATTATTGAGATCAATACCAGGTTTCAAATTAAATATCTAAAATTAAAGGACAAGTACACCGACAACAGCCATAGACCAAAGATTTGAGTGGTGTTTGTGATCCTGTAGGACGATTTGGTATTGATGGGTTCACACATTTTAATTCAATTAAATTTTACAGAAAAAGAAAGTACACAACGGTAACTTCAGGTGAGTGAGTACTCGGAGATTTTCTCTAATTAAAACACAACACTGTTGTTATAAGATGTAGGGGCAGATAACTCTGCTTAACAGTAAGTGTTCAGATCTAATGAAATGTGCGAGTTCTACTGATAGCGCTGAGCATCTATATAGCATTGGACCTCTAAACTACGTACAATTGTATTATATTAACATATCTATATAATAATAATATACAGCATATATATAGCGTTGGACCTCTAAACTAAGTACAATTGTATTATATTAACATATCTGTATAGTGTCATACTCTAAACAATGTATTGTATTAACAGGTTTTTTTTGTACTCTGGGTGATGTTTGCTTAAACTAATATGAAAAAGGAAACTTTTAATGGCCCATCAAAACAATAATGTCATACAGGGCCACACAGCAGTCTTAACGACCCATCAACACAATAAGGTAATACTGGGCCACACAGTAATCTTACTGGCCCATCAACACAATAAGGTCATACAGAGCCACACATCAGTCTTAACGGCCCATCAACACAATAAGGTAATACAGGGCCACACAGTCGTCTTACTGGCCCATCAACACAATAAGGTCATACAGAGCCACACAGCAGTCTTAACGACCCATCAACACAATAAGGTAATACTGGGCCACACAGTAGTCTTACTGGCCCATCAACACAATAAGGTCATACAGAGCCACACAGCAGTCTTAACGACCCATCAACACAATAAGGTAATACAGGGCCACACAGTAGTCTTACTGGCCCATCAACACAAAAAGGCCATACAGACAGATGGTCAATGGTAGGTGTACAAAAGGAACCCACAGAAATAATATTTATATTGATAGAAAGTGGCAGAAAGGTAAAAGATAGAAGTTCCAAATATCATAATGGGTGCAGCAGGCCAATTTTCATTTCTTTAAGAAACCTGATCAATTTTGTCAGACCTAAATGCTCCCCATAAGGAGGAAATACAAGGAAACCCCTGATATTGTCAAACATTATACAATGGAACAAATGGTATGGTTTAATTTTGTTTAACGTCCTATTAACAGCTAAGGTCATTTAAGGGCGTGCCTCATGTCTGTAGTGAATGTGTGCTTGCGTGTGCGTGTGTGCAGGAGACAGGGTATGTTGGTGTTCTCGCCTTCTTGTGATAGCGTGGATCTGATGCCGACTTAATAGTGATATCTCACTGAAATGTCATGCCGAAGTTGGAAGTAGAAAAAAGTTCAGATACCAAATATTGCAATGGGCTCAGCAGATTTATTTTGGTCGCCAAAGCAAATCCCCAACTCTGCAGGGAGTTTCCACATTAGCCGCCTCCTACGATACATGCTGTGGGTAACGGCAGGTTATTCTTCCCCTGATCCCACCTAATGTAATGGAACAACAACATAATAAAGTATGATGAAGAGACAACTGTTTGATTTGGTAGGGTTAGGTTATACAACCTAAATGTGCTGTTAATACTGATGATAGCCAGTGTTACCACTGCCATACTGGAGATGTCAGCTACAGCATGAGTACAATCATTTATCTCCAAACAATCATAATCCCACACATCATCAAACTGGGAGGAAAACTCTGTGAATATTTATAAGATTTTCCATGATCTGCGCCCTCAACTGTCATGACTGCTTATCGCCCTCAACTGTCATAACTGCTCTTCGCCCTCAACTGTCAGTGATATATTTTAATAAAGATGTGCATCGCTTCTTGGAAAAAAATGTTCTGACTGAAGCATTCCATCTCCTGTTGAAGACTTATTAGTGGCTGAGGCCAAGACTTTACGTCTGGGAGTTTAGGATTGTTACGGAGAACTAATAGGCACCTCCTTCGACACAAAAGGAGGTAACACTGTCAATGACTTTATTATTTTTCTCTGTTTAAACGAATGGTGCCAAATTTTAGATGAGTACGAGTCCAAATTTTCAGCCAAGCAAATTGAAAGTGTGGTATTTGATTAAAAAAAGTTCTCCAATCAATGAATTCAGTTCAAATAGCGCTAATCCAAGACAAAAATTTGATACTAAAGAAATAATTAATTTTGTGATAAAAGAAAATTAGCCAATTAAGTTGAAAGTTTTGTTAAATAATGAAGAAGTTTTAACAGTTGCCCATGACAGGGTCCTTCTGTGTGGTTTACTGTTTACTCAGGTAGTTATGGAAACAGTTACTGTGGTAATAACATGCTTTGTTTCTTCAAAATAGGAATATTCAATGATTTGGTATTATGTGTCAAGATTTCTTAATAAATCAAACTTCAGATATACACAAAAAAATCAGATCTAATACAAACACAAACTAACAGAATTCAATCTGTGACATACCACCTTCAAATTGAAAGACTGACATAACACACACATAAACTGACAGAACAGAATGTCTCCAATAACAAGTATTGTTTCTCTACTCCAGCAGGATTGGATAAACATGCAGGGAGTCTGTAAACAATTTCATGTTAACCGTTGGATGTTGGTAACAACTTAGAGCTGATGTTATAGGCCAGCCTTTTAACTGTGATGTCACCCTACAATGATCTGTGTCGGCATCTTCTGTTGCGTTTATCATGATTCCTGGCAATTGTTTCCCAAATCAGAAAAAGGATCCAAGAGAAGCATATGGTTTTTCTGATAAAGTATGATCATAGCAGGAAAAGGGTTGGCTGATTATCACATGTTTATCCATATTTCATTAGTTTTCTTTCAAATTGTAAAATGATTGTTTGTAAAACTCATGTATTTCTAAAATTTGAAAATTAATTAACTTGATCTAGATAAATGTAACAACCAACCACAACTCGTCTGCAACATCTACATCTGACAAAAACGTATCAAGATAGGCTGAATTCAATCTATGAAAGATAGACAGATAGAAAGACCTCTATCTCAGACGAATAAGCATTTAAATCAGACAAAAATGAACGAATTCAATCTATGAAAGATAGACAGATAGAAAGACCTCTATCTCAGACGAATAAGCATTTAAATCGGACAAAAATGAACGAAGACAGACAGAATTAATCTCTAACAAAATACATACACCAATATAATTAAATTTCTGTCAAATCACATACAGAGATAGACGGATAGAAATACCTTATCTCTGACAAAATTTAAGCATTTAAATCTGACAAAAATTAACAAAGATAGACAGAATTCAATCTCTAACAAAACACAAGCATAGTCAGAATTCAATTTCTAACTCAACACATACAAAGATAGACAGATAGGAAGACCTCGATCTCTGACAAATAAGCATTATTAGACTGACGGAACCAGGATATAAATTTTTCAGATGAGATCTTTAAATTGGAATCAATTACTGGAACATAGCCTACTGAATAACCAACACATGCTGTTTTCCGATTCCTTATTTTTACGTAAGAAATTCAATTAGAGTATGTACATATCTTACAAAAGCCTAGTAAAGTCAGCAAAAACATACACAACCAGCATCTAAATTCTTCTAATATTTGGAAATCCCTACAAATTAAATCTGGTGCTGCTGGCACCACTTGTACTAAATGATGCAGATTGGTATAAGTCTGCTCACAACAAGCCTGCTCGCCACCAGGAGACATGGCTGGTACACCTGTCTGTACACTGACTGTTGCAGGGATTCAAACTATTTAACCCTTTCATCACTGTGGACCACAATGGACTCATCCAGATAAATGTATGGTAGAGTCTATTAAAGTTACCTAGGGGTGTAAGGGTTAAAGTATTATAGCACAGTAGAAATGGAAATGTCACAATCTGCTTTCCTCTATTCTATCACTGATAGACTCACTACCTTTGGACTGATTCAAAGATGTTCTATTTTTTTTGTACGTTTGTTTAAATACTTGTCCATGTAATAGATGACTTTAAATGAGATTCAATGCAATAGAGATGTAATATTTTTGGTTTGTTTGTGCTGTATGTCCTATTAGCAGCTGTGGTCAATTAACTCATTCACCCCTAAAGACACATTTGAACTCTTCCCATTCAAAGGTTGGAATTGTTCATTATGAAATTTCAGGGCTGAATGAGTTAAGGACGCACCAGGTTTTGGCAGTGAAAGAAAACCGAAATACCGGACAAAAACCACCACCTGCGGCTAGTACCTGGCCACTGCCCCA